CATTACATTCCCCAAAAATTAATTTGTTCAATTCATACAAAATAAACCGCAACCGTCACTGATATGATTTCCCTTGATTCACTGGCTCCCTGAGAATACAAGTATTTTGAAAAAACGTCAACATATGAAATGTTGGTGAGTTCATAAGTAGTGTTTGAAATCGAATGTTTGTATTGTTTGAAGAACCACCAGAAAATCCGATATTTTCTGAAAAGATAAGTTTTCGAAAACGTTTGTGAAGATCCATAGGTATGCTTGTTCGTTTCTATACTTGTAAAAAAATGTTCATTGAAAATGTATGCATTTCAAATCAGTTCGTATTGAAAACCCTAGGAAAACCCGATGTTCTCCTAGTTCCTTGAATTACGTGATGTTACATTGAAACCATTGCATAGAGTATAGTGTCAGTCCCAGGCGACGTTGGAAGGTTTTCGAGCAGGATTATTTACTACAAACCCGCATTACACAAACGCCCAGTTTATAGTGATACTAACGACTCCGAAGGCGTCGTCAGTACTAATCGCGTTATCCAATCGCCCTGACTAGGTGTAGTCCCACATCCGAAGAGAAAGAGATCACGAAGACCCCGGTAACTCCATTAGCCGGTTGGGGATAAAATGTACGAGGGGTCCCCGACCCGCCTCGCATGAAATGTAGACTTTACTAGCAATACCAAAGGACCCTTGGGGACCGGTGGTATACAAGCCATTGAAAGTCCATTTACGTTGTGTCGGATCGGTAAAACCCAACACACCGTAAAAAAAATGTCTTCGGGCCTTAAGATCAGGTCATTGGGCTAGCTAGGCTCAACGAACAAGATTTTACACTTGTGGGGCCCAAAGATGGTGCGTAGACGTCTGTGCACACTCGCATGTATATGTATTACCAAACGTTACTTGTATGAATCGTAGTGTCGTAGTGTTAGTAGTTGTAGATTTCTATTGGCTCGAGACCGAGCCAATTCGTTTAACAACGACTTTTGGGTATTGTAATGTATTGTATTTCGTCGATAGTCGCGGTGCAATTATTTGATCAAATTGTGTACATTGAACTAGCCTTGAAATATTCCTGTTTTCAGCCCCTCATTAATTGTAAAATTTACATTTTCAACCCTTTTTATTAAATACTTCCCGGTTTGGTCCTTAAACTATTTTTCTTGCCATTTTAACACCAAAAATTATTGAAATTAATATTTTTCAGCATATTTTTCATAGAAAACAGTTTAAGTCCTTGAAAATGCAGTTTTCTCGGTTTTAATCCCTTCTTTTCGCAACTTTGACAATTTTGGCCCAAATTGGAAAATTTTTGCAACTTTGGTCCTTTTTAAATTTAAAAAGCATTTTAAACCTTTGAAAAGGATTTGGAACACTTATAGTCTGCTGTTTTACAGAAAGTTACAGTTTTGGCCCTCCAAAACAGAAAAATTCGCATAATGGGCCTTATTGGGCCGAAAATTTCATTTTTAGCCCATTAAGCTTGGAATTTATGTTTTTAATCCCCTAAATGAGTATATTTCCAGAAATTTATTTATGGAAACTGTTTTGGCACACTTCATCCATCAGAATCTGTGAAATGTCAATTTGGGCCCTTATTTTTGCATTTTTCACATTTTAGGCCCAAAATTTGTGTTTTTAACCCAAAGAAAATTATTACTAAACCACTTAGCCATTTTTTTCTTGAAATACTTTGTGTTTAGAAATATATTTGAAGCTAAAATCATTTAACACAAGATATATCTCGGTTTTGATGGGTTTTAATGCTAGATCCAACATAAAAACACATAAAAGCATACATATAAGCATGGAAATCATACAAGGCATACAAAACACATATAGATCTACACTTTCACTTGTATTCCCCCCCCCCCACAAAACTCATAAAAACAGAAAATAGGGGGTATGAAGCTCACCTTGGGGTGTTGATTCGGTTTTGCAAGGAAAAATGAAGTGTTTTTGGCCTTAGCTCCCTTTGATGAAGATCTCGAGTTTGAGATGGTTCTAGGGTGCAAGATCACGATTTTTGCATGGATTAGGAAGAGATTTTTGATAAATAAGGAATACAAGTCATAGATCCAAGCAAAACCTTACCTTAGATGATGATTTTTGTGGAAGAACTTCCTTGAATGCTTCCTATTTTTCGAGATTTTGGAGAGGGAAGAAGGGAGTGTTCTTGAGTGAATCTAGAGAGAATTTGAGATATTTTTGGTGTGTGTATGTGTGTATGGCCGAGAGTGAGAGAGAGGAGAGAAGAGAGGTGATATTTGAGGTGATGTGCATGGAGGAATGGGAAATATTGCATGGATATCCTTTGGATATTAATGAGGTGGCATGCATTAAGTCAACACTTCCATTTCTCTTTGGGTTTGGGCCTTTGGGCCGAGATTTTTGAAAGGGAAAAGAAAATTTTGGGCTTTTCTTCCTTAAGCCCAAAATTTGAGTTAGTTAGAGTGTGTTTTATGCTTAAAAGAATGTAGTATGATTTTTATATTTTTATTGGACTAGTTTAGGTTATTCATGTATCAAGGCTTTCAATTCATTTCATTATAGGCCCAACATGACCTAAAATGTTAAATTAAATAAGTGTGGGTCCAATTAGAGCCCAATTAGGGTTCTAAGCCCATGATAGTCTAATTGGAAGCTTATTGGTCCCTTTGGAGCCAATAATGAAGTTCTAGTCTAAAATAGACTTAACAAGAACTTCTAGGGTTTTCCAATTGTTTGATGACTACTTGTAGTACTTGTATGATGTGTTTGATTGAAGTTTTTGATTCACATTAACTTGAATGTATGGATTACATAGCTCAAAATTTTCAGTTGTGACATAACTAGTCTAACTGAGTGCACGTGTGAGGTTGCCACTAAACTTAATGATCATTTTAAACTCATGAAACTTATGCAGTTGACTCTTATAGTCAAGTTAAAAGTCATATTCTTCTCATGGATCCTTACCTAATGTTAAAACCGATTTTTCCATAATTTCTCATGAAGAACCACACCAAAGAAAATATGTTCTTGTCTGACTGTTAATCTTATTCTAGAATTTAGTCCACTGCTTCGATAATAAGTTTAACAACAGGTTTAATCCTAACAATTCTAATAAGAATCAGAATCAAGTTGTTCAATGTAAAAATTGTGGTTTGAAAGAACGTCCTATAAAAAAGTGTTACAAAATAATTGGATACCCAAAAGATTCCAAACCTAAGAATGACTCTATGAGTCAAAATAATCAAAAATAAAAATTTGTCTATAAATTCTTCTTTTATATCTTCTAGGGTAACTAACTTCTTAGGTAACTAACTGTTTTGGTTTGTCTGAGTCTGCCGGAGAGTATGAACATCATCACCTCACTAAGGATGAATACATCATATTTTTAAAACTTATTAATGATAAGCAACCAAATGAGGAAACATCTATTAATGCTAACATGGCATATAGTTGTTTGTTGAAGCTTTTAATTTTACATGTAAGGTGGAGTTTACTAAAATCAGGCTAGCAAAAAACTAACTAGGACAATGAAAAAACATTATATAATAACTAATTGATGGTTTTAAAGTCAACCAACTCAATTAATATCTTTTTTAAATCTATTATTACACCAAAAGATGTAAGGAGTAAGAGCATCCACAACGGGGGTTTAATGGAAGAGTTGAATGAAGTGTCATGTCTAGTTGTCATTCAATGGATACAACTCCACCATTGTGAAATGCCACCTTGACATTTAATGGATTTGGAGTTCAATGACCATTGAACTCTTCAATGGGAAAAAGAAAAATCTTTAAATCTTTAAATAAATATTTTTATAAATTTTTTAATATGTTCCATTAAACTTGTAGAGTTTAATGCATTGTGGGATAAAAATGAATAAAATTGTATGGAATAATGAATGATGATGTGTCACTCCATTGAACTCTATAGAGTTCAATGCATTGTGGATGCCCTAAATAATTATGTTAATGATATTAAGTAATATTAAACATATAAAATATATTTTAATTTATCTAACAACATATTTATATTTATTTACGTATAATTACAAGATATTGAATTTTGAAGAGACATGCTTTCTTAAAAAAAAAGGTATGGTTAACATTTAACATTGATAAATAGTGAAATATGCTATATCCGAATTAATGACAAAAGTAAATATGGTGTTATTCCATCGACTTCCTTATGAAATTGATTTGGAAATTACAAATTTTCGAATTGAAATTTTGTAATTATTGATTTTAGGTATTTATTTACAAGTAAAATACTCTTACTAAAATGTCCAGCAACAAAGTCACATTGTGCATCATAGTCTTAATTATGGCATTAACATGATAAATGTTTTATTATAGCATTTTTGTATTGTTGCTTGCAATTCTATAATTTCTTCCGTTTTTAAATACTCCAACACTTGAACATATATAAAAGAAGCATCCATCTTATATTTGTAATCGACGTGATGTTAATTTGTGTAGCGTTCTTGCATGAACATTAGTTTTATAAAATTGTGCCTTGTGCCGTTAACATTAGTTTTATATGATTACGGTGTTATAACCCTAAAAATTTTATAAGATAGGGTGCCAAAAACATTATTTTTATAATACTATGGTATTAAATTATTATTAAGTTGTATGGATTATGTGAGATGCGTATAAGATTCAAAACATTATCTATATATTGATATTCTTTCTGTATATCTACCCTTTTAGTCATAAGTTAAAAGTAACCCCATTGAACATGACGAGAAAGACACAAAATCATGGAAAACACAAGAAAGAGTTTCAAAATTATGCATCAGTATTGGTAACAAATCTTTAAGAAATTAACATCAAAAACACAAACTATGAACACCAAACATGTTTACCAATAGTCAAACTTTTAACTTCTCTAAAGTCAAGATTCTTTACGTCCAAATCATACGATACAGCTGCTTCGTATTAACTACACTTCAAAACTCCCACAAACTAAACCCTAAATTCTAGACTCGTGCAATGCAACTTCATAAACCTGCATGTTCTATGAAGCAGAAGGCCCACCGTCGTTCCCCGACGAATCTTTCCAATCATGACGAGTACTAATCCCACCTTTGTGATCATCACCCGTTTCTTTAGGAAAATCTTCTGAATCTTTCATTTCAACATCTCCAGCAGTTCCTTGTTTAGATAAACCCTTTGAGTCTTTAATATCATCATCCCCATTTTCTTGTTTACGCCAACCTTTTGGATCTTTCAAATCACCATCTCGGGTTTCTTGTTTAGAAGAATCTATTGGATCTTTCATATCATCATCCCCAGTTTCTTGTTTAGATGAATCTTTAAGATCATCCTCAGTACCATGATCATTCGAAGTTTTTTTGTCTAACGAATCTTCATCATCTTCCCTTGAATTAGCTGCCGCATCACCCCAAATCCATGACGATTGTCGAAAGATTTCGATGTCAATAGGGTCCGTCGGAGCTTCTGCCTTCTTGTCCAACAGCTTTATGTAGTTTTCGTACAATTCGCTTACTTTTTTATCCACTTCCTCTTCTGTTGCATAAGCCCGATATACGAAGATCTGTCTGTTATAGAATTCTTGCATGTCGCCCTTTCGAATAAAACTGTAGTGTTGCGTTCTGTTATAGAAGGCATAAAGGTCCGTCAAAAGACCTATCTCCTCCGCTCCCCTCTGTTTGCCGTGGCTGCTGGTGGCGTTATCCTCCGCGTTTTCTTGTGCAGTTGATGATGCGGTTTCATGATGCTCTTCACTTGGCGTAGATTGATTCATTGGATCGACATTCTCTTCTTTCTCTGGTTCGAAGTCTGCAGAGGTGATCGTTTTCAAGCTGCCTGAACTTTCGCTTTGTGGATGCTGTTCCAGTGGGTTGTTTACGGCGGAAGGACTGGATGTTCTTGCAGAATTAGAACCCGCATCCGAAGACGACAGAGACCTAGACTCAGAATCAGAACCAGAACCAGAACCAGAACTAGAGCGAGAGAGAGAACGAGAATCCGAACCATTCTCAGAACGAGGATGCGAAGCAGTGCCAGAACGAGAAACAGAACCAGAAGCAGAGTGGGAGTATTGTGATTGTGAAGAATCCATGGTGGAATCTAGATGGATTTCTTCTTGTTAATGATCTTTTCAAGATTTTGAATTAGGGTTTTCCCTGATCAAAAGGAATAATGAGAGAGAGAGAGAGCGAGAGAGAGAGAGAGAGAGAGAGAGAGGCAGTAGAAAGTGAAGAAGGAGTTTCAAGATTCTAAACAACTACTTCCATATATAGACGGGACTTCACTAGTCACGCACTTCGGCAGTTGTGACGTTTGTTGGCAATGGCATGCTCCTTTTTACATTTGATATTATTTTTTATTTTTTTATTTATCTACATAAAAATGTGTTACTACGTACTTAATTAGTCACATTTTGATTTGATTTATAACTTAAACTAATGTTTTGGTATATTATTAATTAAATAAGTGAAATACTTTAACAGATAGAACAAATAAGATCTATCGATCAAAATAAGTACCAAATACAAAGCAATATGAATATCTAATCTTTAAAAGGGACATATGTATGGGATATATGGTCAAGTTGATAAATATGCGTGGGCATTATCAATTTACCACTCACTGTGAGAACTAAGAACCCTAAATCATACCATCACAATTACGAACCCGATCATTAGTAAAAAAAAAAAAGGAGTGAGTAACAAATAATTATAACAATACACGTGATAATCAAAATTTTATCAAAATTCAAAATTTGACTTTTGTAAAGTAAAACTTGTTTACATTAAAGCGATTATATTTCTTTGTATCAAATCCTACAACTAATCAACCCTATATTCATCATGACTAATCCATTAACGAAGTTTCGAAAAGCCGAAGACTCAACCTGGTCATCAACGGATTCTTTTGTGGAATCTTTAGTTATCACTGACTGTTCTTTCGGATGAATCTTGAGTATCATCTTTTTTCCCCCAAATCCTGTAAGATAATCGATAGATTTTGACATCGGTGTGATCCATCCAATCTTCTATATCGTCACCAGACAATGTCTTCTGCAAGTTCATCAAGAACCTTTCATGCAGCTCAACCATTTTGTTACTCATTACATCTTCCTCTGCGTAAACTGCACGCCGCTTGATCCACTGCTTATAGAACATTTTCATGTCGTTGGAGTCATCAAATGGATACGTCCTATTTTTGTTGTAAAACTCGATAATGTCCATCAAAAGATTAATCTCTTGTTTCTTCGCTGGAGTGGGGGTTCTGGTGGCAGCAATGCCATCGTCAACTTTTTCTTTGCCCATTGATAATCCGGTTCGACGGCGTTTGGTTGCCGTGGAATGACTGGTGACATTCTTTTCTTTTTTTGGTTCACCGCCAGCACCAGTGGTGGTTGTCTCTCTCTCGCTATTTGAACCACCAACACTTTGTGGTTGAAGTGCTGACGGCAATGGGTTGACTTCGACGGAAGGAGTGGATTCTCTGGTAGAGCCACCAGACGAAGGAATAGAACGATACCCAGAACCAAAACCAGGGGGAGATCCCTCGTCGGAACCAGGGGGAGAGTGTCGTGGATTTGAAGAATCATCCATGGCGGAATTTTGATGGGATTCTTTTTGTCAAGATCTTCTCAAGAAAATGTCGAGAGACTTGGTGTTTCTGTGGGATGAAAAAGAAAATGATATGGAATTTCAAGGTTTGATAGTATTTGTAGTTTTGTAATCAATTTGTTCCGTTAATAGTTGGATAAGTTAAGCAAATTTTAACAGAAGAAAACTAGAACTGTTAATTATTTTAGAGAAAGTGCAACAATGGTCCCTTGTGTTTGATTTTATTGGGTTTGGGTATAAAATAGAAGGAAATCATGTAAATTGTAAAGTCTCTATATTTTGAATTTATATTCAAGTAAGTTTCTATATCTTTTTCTGATTAAGTCACCAATACAGGTTAAATTATTCAATTTTGATGTTTTTTTTTCCAGATTAGCCGGTTAATATAAAAAATTGTCTAAAATTAAATAATTTAATCGGTATTGAGACTTAATCAGAAAAAATATTAAAAATACAAAAACTTAATTAAATATAAGATCAAAATGTAGAGACTTTATAAAAGATTTTCTTTAAGATTTGAGACTATAGGTTTGGAGTTCTTTAAAATAAAACAATATAAGCTTCTATTCGGATGAACTCTCAAAAAAATTACTTGGACAATATTATGTATCAGATATTTATTTTGATAATCGATCCGATCAACATCTTCATTGATTTATGTTATTGTTCACATTGTGTTATGTGTATCCTAGTAGATAGTTTAGGCCTCTAGGGTATGCAAAAATGAGATTATATTCAGAAAGGTAACTAATAACAAATATTACTCATATATAGGTAATACTACAATATTAATCATATTTTAAAAGTTTTGGTATGATGTTGTAAATAAAAAGAGACAACAACAAATCAAGTTTTGTAAATGTATATAAAACAAGAGTAGTTTAAGGTGTACTCACGAGTCCTTACTTTAAAATGAGTCATCATCCGATCCTGTTTATATATATATATATATATATATATATATATATATACACACACACACACACACACACGGATTAAGTCCTGAATACCGGTTAAATTATTCAATTTTGGATAATTTTTCAGATTCACCAGCCAATCTGAAAAATTGTCCAAATTTGATTTATTTAACCAATATTCGGGACTGAATCAGAAATATATATATATATATATATATATATATATATATATATATATATATGCACCTAACTGAATATGAGGTCAAAATGTAGGGACTTTATAGGAGATTTCACAATAGAATATGTTTCTATTGATACCCTCATGGGTGTTACTACCTCAAATCAACATTGGATGAATAAGAATTATTAAAGCAAATTCTAACAAAATAATATTATAATTTATTTTTATTATTGATCTTTATTAACAAAAAATAAGGGGTTACTAATGTATAGTACTTTTATCAAGGTATTGTTTAAGAGACTAAGAATATTTTGTGAAATAGTGTGTTCATTTCATAAACTAAGACTGTTTTATCACTTGTATTATGCATAATATATATAAGATATCTGAAGAAGGTTTGATTTGGAAAAGGGCTATTTATTCATGGTACACATGGTGTCACTAGGTTGGTCAAATATGCTATTAAGCATTTAGGGTTTGTGGTACTATCAATCACTTATATATGTTTATTGGAAATTACAACATCGTTCACAATACATTTTCACTACTAAAAACAATCAATAGTCTTGGATTGGAGAGGTTTATAGATGATAAATTGTTAGGTCTCTAAGGAGGATTATCGATATCTCATTCTTAGACTAGTTTCTTGTCGAGACCATCTGGAGTTGCCTTGTCCTAAGAAAATCCAATATTCTTGCATGGAGAACAACCCTCGATAGACTTTCCACATGTATCGACTTAGAAAGAAACAATGTTACTAATGGTACCCGCCTCAAATCATAACAGCCAAGAAAAAAGAGCTACTTCTTCATTCATTGATTAACATACAAAGAGTTGACATCAATCCTTAATATTTAGTAGAAAAACATGGATACTACAGTAACTCTCCATGGTGTGTGTTGATTTAGGGTATGTCAACAAGGTTCAATAGGCAATCATGTTGGTTCTAATTACACTTGTATGTGCTTAATGGAACCATTATAGTGATTACTTCTTTAATAGGAAAAATGTGACGTTTAACTAGATGAAGATTAGAGCTAGGAGAGGTTCTAATATAAATTCGTTGAAGTAGTCTAATAACCTGAAAACTAAGTGTTTAAGTGTATTGCAACGTCAAGCTCCTTACTAGATTCAATAAATTTGTTGTAAAAAAAATACATAACATGTTTTGCAATTATAGTAGTTCACCTACATATCTACACCGTTAGTTTACTTTCATTTATGTCGATACTGTTTCATTAAGTAAGACAATTTCTTCGAGTTCTAAACTAATTTTCTAGAAATGTTATTTTTTCATATAGTTGATGTTGTGTATATAATTCAACATATGTTAGATCATTGTGATAGTATCTACTTATCCGAGATGCAAGCTTACTCCTTATTGGCTGTAACATCTAGATTTCCAATTAATTACACTTTTGACCCTTATTATGAGATTTGTTTGCAAAAAGGGTCCCATGTGACTTTATCATAAAATCATGTGGGTTGATGGCGTATGCTGGGCGAATGTGGGTAAAGGTCAAACCCAATTTTTAGGGTTTTGGACCCTTTTTAAACATCCCTAACTCATTGATACCCCTTCATTCTTCACCCCCCACCTCCATATTCGACCCTGAATAACCCTAATCCATTTTTGAGCATCCTTGAGCCATTAGTGTGTGTTTTGGTGTTCTTAGAGGAAGGAGGGGGAAAGGAGAACATATTGGAAGCTTGGAGCAACCTTGGACCTAGAAGTTTTGCACCCCCTCCATCTCTAAAAGGTATAAAGTTTATACATTAATGCTTATTTGGTTAGATCTAGCTTCGATGATGTTATTATGTGCTTTTGTCCCCAAACAATGATGTTCTTGAGTATGGTATACTCTAGACCAAATGGATTATCTTTTCAGATGTTTTAGAGTGTCTAAGGTCATAAAAATGCAATTTTGGTCATTATTTTCCTTCCATGCATGGGTTATTATGTCTTAATGAGTTGAGAAGTTAGGGTTTCTAGTACTGGGCACTTTTATAGCCATGCAAAGTCATAAAGTTTGAAACTTTATGACTTAAGATGTTATTTTGGGACTACATCTGCTTTTGGACGAAAGGAATTAATTGAATAAGCCCTTAAACGGAAGAATGCATTCAGCCAACATATGTTGGGCGTACATTGGTGTATGCCGCATGTATGCGATCAAATCCATGATCTTGGATCTTGAGTACGCTAAGCGTACAAGATAAATTTGATGGGCGTACTCAACTGAGTCAACTCGACTAACTTTTTGATTTTTTACCTTGACCAGACTTTGAAAAATTTGACCCAGGGGTATTTTGGGTATTTTGAATTTTAGTTGAGTCTAGTCATTTTTTGTGACATCCCCAATTTCTTGGCCAGAATAGACCGATTTATTTATGCTTTGTTTTTAAAATCAGAGTAATCTTTTAAAGAAAACAGTTGCGGAATTTGTTCCCAAAACAAAATATGATAAAAATTATCAAAGCATTTCTTTAAAGAAATGTATTTTTATTATATAACAAAATCTTGGGATGTCATGTTCCGATACAGACACATAAGCATAAACAGAACTTACATTATTTACACTAAAGATTTTACATCTCCTTTAATCTCTCCGTGAAATATATCTTCGTGTCGATACCTGTGATACAAAGAAAATTGAGTGGGTCAGGTTTGGGAGCCTGGTGAACATATAAGGTTTTCAACCCAAAATAATATAATTATTATATTCAACCATCAAACAATCAACCCGATTACCCATCCCCATTATCTTCTTTATTTCTTAGGATTTTACCCTAAGAATTCAACTACCCGTCATTCATTCGTTCCTAAGGATCGACCTAAGGAATTAGCACAAAATCTATTGCTACATAAGGCGCATCTACCAACATCATCCTTTAAGCGCCTCTGTTAGGATTACGTCATACACTATGAGGTGTGACTGTCAGGTTTATGACATTCTCTTTTAGGCACATCTGCCGACATTATCATATAAGCGCATCTGCCAGGATTATCCTATAAGCGCATCTGCTAGTATTATGACATTCTCTACTTGGCGTATTTGCCGACATTTTCCTATAAGCGCATCTTTCAGGATTATGACATTCACTACTTGGTGCATCTACCGATATTATTCTTAAGCGCATCTTTCATACCTCATCATTTTATCACATACCAACTATCTCATCTACCCATGTTCTACCCAACATATTTGTAGATATAAAATACATATACAGTTTAACTCATTTAAAAAAAACTATATAAAACATCCATTCCACACTCATCTCAAATAAACAACAATATATAAACACATAGCACATATTTTATAACAAATATTTCATATTTAGGTGTTTGAAGAAAGTAACCACACGTTCACCCAAATATATACTTAATACATTCAAACAATACTTGTATTATACCCATGTTTATGAAAGGGACTATACACCCACACATATAAACAACTTTATATTATGCATATAGCACGTATTTCATAGCAAATACTTAGTATTTATGCGTTAGAAGAAAGTAACCACACACTCACTTGATCAGAAGATGATCGAGCAGCACTATGACTTGTAGAAGTAGTATTCTTCGGTAGATATGGAAGATTTTCACAAAAATCGGACTCCTCGCGGGATGAGCTTTGGCTCAGGAATTGCACTTCTCGAGATCCTCGGGGCCTCAGGAATGATACCGGGGCTTCGGGATAATTCTTGCACGAAAAACGATGCAAAAATGCGAGAGAAAGGGAAGAAATGAGCAAAAGAATTGGCTGCCCTCGACATCCTTTTATAGGGGGCTGGAACTTCGATTTACGCTGGGCGTAAATTGAAATTACACTGGGCGTAATGAGAATAGGGTCGCTGACTCCCCCCCCCCTCCCCTTGGA